TAGCCCTCTACTGTTTCCTGAGAAAACAAACCCACTTTTTTTTCTCAAATAATGCTATCAGCCACATCTCTGTCCAATAAAATGATGAGTTTAAGGTGGTGTGACTTTCATGGGGGGGGGGGGGATGTCTCAACCTGCACTACATGAGACATCTCCATTAGGAGGCAAGATAAAGATCACTATTTTACATGTTTATAGTGAAATAAATGTATATAAAGATACTTGTATGTGCATGTTTATGTTAATATTTTTTCCCCAAAAATTAAAAAGTCAAGCAGTAGAGGGTCAGAGTAGCCTATAAAGAAGCACTTGAGGAGAGTAGGCAGTTCCTTTGTAAAGCCCTTTGTGATGTTCTTTTATTGGTTTTTAAATGTCTTAATGGTCTTGGGCCTTCTTATCTCTCAGATTTGCTTTTACCATATGAACCCTTGCGGACCCTGAGGTCCTCTGGTACTGGCCTTTTGATTGTTCCTAAGGTCAGGACACATGCTCACGGAGAGGCAGCTTTTCAGTGGTATGGTCCTCGTCTGTGGAACAGCCTGCCGGAGGAGCTCAGGGCCGCAGAGAACGTACATGTTTTTAAGAACAGGCTCAAGACCCACCTTTTTAATTTAGCTTTCACCTAACGTTTATTTATTTTATGCTTATTTATTATATCCTGTTATTCTATTTACATTATTAATTTAGGTTTTACCTAATATTTATTGATTTTATTCTTATTAATTTTTTTTAACTTCTTACGCTATTTATATTTATATTGTATCCCGTTCTTATTTATTGTATCTTTTTTATCCTGTATATATTCATATTGGGTCATATCTCCAGTGTTTCCTCGGAGGAGGCTCTCTGCACCGGGGCTGTGATCGACCGTGGCTGCTGGGGCTCTGTGGGTCTTCTCAGCCTGGCTGGGGGGCTCCTTTGCCTCCCTCCTGCTGTGTGCCCAGTCTTGTGGCTGCGGTCTGTGACCGGCTCCCGGTGCAGACGGCTCCCTGTGATAGCGTTTCCTCACCTGGCTCATGTGTCATTTTACTCTTTAAGTGTGTGTGTGTGGGTGGGGGGTTATGTATCCATGATCGTTTATGTTAATGAGAGTATGGGGAGTGAGTTGGAGGGTGGGGTGGGCATGCTTTTAACCATGTAAAGCACTTTGTGCTACATTTTTGTATGAAAAGTGCTTTATAAATAAAGATTGATTGATTGATGTCCTGTGTGTCAAAGCTTTGAAGCGCGTGTCGGGTAATCTCGGGGGACTTTTTGTGAAGCGGGTCTCGAGGCTTGCTCTGATTACGTATGCAGTGACGACGTTCGAGGCCTCGCGAGCAGTCCGTACTATTATCTGATTTCTGTTTTTTAGTTTATTAAAAAGTGAAGCGCCACACACTAGTTTGTGTCATTATCCAGATGTACATAAGCATGATTACACAGTTACACAATCATACCAAAACTCTGTCCTGATAGTTTCCACTGTATCTTTTGTATAAGACATACTGAGACAATATTCAGGATAAATAACCATGAAAACAATTTATTTATTCAGTTTAGATGTTTACACATCACATCATTATAATCATTGAGCCTGTTTTACTTGAATCATCCACTTGATGTTGCAGTAGAGCAAATGAATCATCACAATGCTTCGAACCATGAGTCGACCAGTTGAAAGCTTCAGTTCATCATGAGGCTTCATCTCACCATCACGGTCTCACCATCACTAAAAGCCCTGTAACCAGCCAGTTTGAATGAGTGAAAAATATGCAAGAACCAGTGAGAGTGAAGTCAACAAGACAAAAATATATAGAGGAGTCCTCAGAGAGAGGTTAATCTGTTGTAGATGTTTAATTCAGTAATGAAATAATTAAACTAAATACTTAAATGTTATCTTTCCTTGTTATTATTCCATACATTCATTTTCATCCCGGACAGAGACCTTCAATTGAGCTCTGACCCTGGACAGGTCCCCAGTCTGTTTGTGTTCTTGTAGGTTAGATTTTCATGTATGTGTTGATGCAAGCTGCATCTATCAGTTTTAAAACCCAGTGACCAATGGATGGGGAAGCCAGATGTGAAAGACCAAAATACCACATTTAATAATAAATTAGAAAATAATATTGTTGGGTGATAAAACAATACCAATAGTCTTTCCCAAGAAATTGGTTTAAGCTGTGAACATCGATGTATAACAGCAGCCCAGGTTATGAGGGTAGAGCTTCATTTCCATGACTTCTTAAAAAAAATTAACAAAAATGTTTGTTATATTTGATGACTGATATTCAAGGGTTGATTACTGCTAATAGCGTCCCTTGCATGGACTGACAATGTCCAAATAGCGACAGCAGTTCTCATAGCTGAGAGCTTGGACGGACTCTTCAAAATTCCAGTATCAATATGATAAATATGCAACAATATTGCAACACTTGACGTTTGTTGATAAGAACCTCTAACCGGGCCAGTGTTGTGCCAAAAAGTGATCGCCCGCCAAAAAGTGATTTCCAACGTTTCCTTGTGTTTTTTTATGTGTAATATCTTTATGTATATTGGTAAACAGACTTTGGTGAACAGGGTTTACAAAGGGTTTATATATAAAAAATAAAAATGACATGTTTTTCAAGTATCTTTATAACTCTGTGTTATTGTGCTTATATTATAACCAGTCTGGTCATTTTTGTCTATCGTATTTGTTGCAATATCTGCTGTCCTCAGGGCCAGATTACTCTTAAAAAACACATTTTAATGTCAACAAGATCTTTTGAACTGGATAAATAAAGGATATATAAAAGTCACTTCCAAAAACTGATTGGGGCTTCTACCTTGTTACACATGTTGTTTATGGCTCAAGATGGCTTGATATCAGACACATATTTTTGTGCCTCTATTCTGAGCGCACGTAAAATATTTTTGCAAGCACATATGTTGCATTTTGAGAAGAAAATTATTTTGAGTGAAAAAAGATTAATTTGAGCGAACAAAATTAATTTCTGCGTGCAAGAAATGTATTTCAGTGTTTGCTATTATCCGTACACACACACACACACACACACACACACACACACACACAGACGTATACCTGCATCTCTACCAACTTGCATTGCACTTTCTGTGCTCTCCAGCCTCTTCTGTTCGACATTTCCTCTAATGCAGGAGAAATTATCTCCAAGAAAAGAAACTCGACCATCACACAGTGGAACAAATTTCTTCTCAAACAAAAACCAAACGGATAACCTTAAATGCATCACGTTTTTACTTTACAAGTTCATAAGCATTCTCCCTTTCATGTTCACAACCTCCTGGTCAAACATATGTATAAGAAAATTGGCCCAATATCATATTATTTATACACAGTCTTTCTGTCCAGTGATTAATTGCATGACATGGAGGCAGGACCTCACAGCAGAAGCAGTACTCCAGAATGTGTTGTACATTATTATATGTATATTATATTACTGGTATTTTTCAATTATTGTATTTACCAACATCAAGAAGTCACAAGCAAAGAAAGACCACACCATGGTGCATGTTTAAACAAGGAGAGTTTACTGGTCAAAATTTATTATTAAACAAATAGACAACATTTTTTTCACCTCCCAAAAAGCAAAGCAACGGCAGCTGATGGTCTTGGTCACTCAGGCCTGTGAATCCAGTTCCTGAAGAACTCCGTCACCATCCTCTGCAGGAATATCGCAGCAAGCTTCTCTCTGTCACCATAAAGTATCACAGCCAGTCCGTCAGTCTGGTGGTAGATGAGATGGAAACGAAACCAGGAACACACACGCAGGACAAAGAGCAAAATGGCATCTTCACCGTGTCCGTCCATTGCAGCTTCAAGTCTGTTAGAGGGAAGAACAGATCATAAGTCACAGTCAGTGATAGCTGCAGACACGTCAAAGAAAACACTGTAGTACCTTTTAAACAAGTAAACCTGTTGGAAACTTGGAGCAGCTAACAGGCAAAAGTCAACCAAACTTAGGAACAACGTTAAACCAGTACATTTAATCCTTAAGTTAATTCCCTTTATTAAAGATCCTTCTGTTTCAAGGGTTCACTGCAGTGAAACTGGCTGCATTATAAATCTAAACCAGAATTGTTGCCTACGATATTGCCACAGAGCAAGCACCTTTTCAGTAACTTATCTTTCTCGTAGAAATGTGCTCCAAATAAAGAACTTTGTGTTGACAAGATTATTAGTTTATCATTTATAAATCAATATCGTCGGTATTGACAGCATTTTTTTAAGTGAACATGTTTTAACCATTCCTCGCCGTCAGTCCCCTGACCGTGGTCGGGAGACACGAGGGGAGATGCTTCCTCCAGGGCCGAAGTTTGTCCTCCTTCGGGGTTAACTCCCTTCACTTTTGTGGAGTAGTGAGGCAGACAGAAATCAGCCGAGGCACCGGAGAGTACTGAAGAGATGAGGCTTTAATAACAGTACTGCACACTTCGAAAACACACTGCATAGCCTGTAGCCCGTTAGAACGCTGCTCCCGGTCGCCCTCTCTACCCATGACACACTCTCTCACTCTCTTTTTCCCTCTTTGCTCCCCGCGTTTCCCTTCACGCGCATGCTCACACACACATCACATACACTCCTTACTGCACCCAGTCACACACAAGACAGCAATTCCCTGCAACACTGTAAAAGAGTGGGATTAAGCGATGCGGTTGAAAAAAATTTGTGGCTTCCGTCACATTAAACTCTGTGAGGGATCATGCAGGAGAGGAGAGAGTGCGCAGATGTACGGGAAATTGAGGAGGTCTCAAATATCAAAAATTATCCACTTATTTAACTAAAATATTTGAGTTATAATCCGAGTATCATCTGAAAACTTCAGAATATTATTCTACGTGAACAGGACAATCTACTGATAGTTTTGTTGTTGTATAACTTGTCATATACTGCCTCCTTTTCCTCCCTGTCCACTT